CACAGAGTTAAAATACTTCACCAGACGGTTCGTCTCTCGGGGTGTAAGTATTTCAGAATCGAGGACGAAATCAGCAAATTCTCTTTCCTCCATCACTGGAAAACGAATTCCTTGAACAACGCGTTCCCCAAGGACTCTTCTTTTCACGGAACCTTCAGCTACGAGACCGTGCTTTTCACATTCTTTTTCAGCCCAGCAATCGATAGCTTTGAATAACTCCACTTCTTTGATATTCAGCGAATTCTTCTCCACCAACTCCTCCAGTGCTGACCTTTCAACTGTAACGAAACCCTCTGATTTTACAGCTTCTTCTGTCTGTGTCTCAATCAATTTCCAGCAGTGATTCATCAAATCTTTCTCTTCGTATTTCTGCGCATCAGGCAAAAAGTGAAACACGTTTAACGCATTTAAGTTCTCTTTAAGGAAAGCAGAGCACTTCTCAGTCAAAGTAGACAGCATATATTTCTTTGATAAATAAAGCAACTGCATGACATTATCAGCGTTCAGGTTGGCCTTGTCGCTGTAGATAAAGCGAAACAACTCCCACAGGCTTTCATACTCACAATCAGAAATCTCCACTGGATCTCTTATCTCTGCCACTGTGCCGAAAAACATGGCAAAAAACACTGGGCTACTGATCGCTAACATGAACTTGTGAGCTGGAATCGTCTTATTTTCACCTTGGGAGTCACAAACCACGAATTTCACATCGCTCAGGAGTTCTTGATTGAAAACGGCCTCACATCGTTCTCTGATGGTACTTCTGGTTGTTTGCCAGTAAGTGTCCGACACTGCATCGATAGACATGGCTAATTCAGTCACAGATCCAAGTTTCGTTGGTTTCTTTACAAGTATCGAAATGATAACTTTCGATTTCCTAGCATTAGAGTCACGGAGGTCACGAGATCTTTTTAGTTCCCAGTGCTCTCGGTCTCAACTGACGGACGAACCTCATACAGGTGAAACCAGACGCTTCACTCATCACCTCGACTGTAACTCTAAAAACGTCATTTACATGATACAATGCAACCACTGCTTTAAGCAATACATCGGTGAAACCAAACCACAACTTTTGTCCTTAAAAGGACCGTTTCGACGAACACCGCAGACCAGTTGACAACCCATCTAATATGTCTAATATCTCTAAACCCACCACAGGCTCAGAACTAATGATCACTCCGCTAATGATATCACACTTATTCCAATAGAACGCATTAAAACTAATAGAGAC